AACAGCATATCTGCTTTACTAATTAAGCCGTAAGACTCACTAGGGGCGACACATTGATTTGCATCTGGCTTATTTCAAAAGCTTAGCAAAACACACACGGTAAATATGCCTGATGGTTCTCAGGTGGGCAAACGTGCGTGGTTGTCTTTGCGACGCTCTCTAAGTTAACTGTGAAGTTAACTTTGCAGAGCTGAAGCGAGAGAGAGAGAGAGAGAGAGAGAGAGAGAGAGAGAGAGATGGGGTTAAAGAGATGATCTGCTGTGTCACGTGGACACGGGCACCAGAGAAGATGTGAAACCAGATGTGGGGTGAAAAAAAGGCTAAAGAGGAAGACTAGTGGGGAACCTGCCAGCATACGTTCCCCTTTCCCCTCCTTCTCTTTTTCTCAGTTGAAAAAGAATGTTAATGATTTTTTTCGCCCCCCTGCGCTCCTCCAGAGACACAGCCTCATTGTTTGTCGCGAGGACCTTTTCTTTCAAACTTAATTACCTTCTCCCCTTTTTTCTGTGACTTGGACTGAAAGTTTGCACTGTGTCGGGAGAGGTCGTCACACATTCTTTTTACGCTCCTTTTCATTAATCTGGGGTGTGCAGGCATTTTCTCTTCGTGTCGGGATGGTAGGGAGGGTAATGGAAGAGCCTCGAACGATCCGCAGGAAGCTTAAAGCCGGTTAATGCAATATAATAGTCTGGACATAGACTGGCCTTTGTTTGTGCGGTTAATTTCGAATCAGGCGTAATTAACTCCAGAGTGTTTCCAGATTGCCAGCGAGGAGAAATTGCAGCCTTCTCTGCTTTGAATTGAGAAAAGACATTAGCTATGTAGATTATGTTTCCCTTTGATACCGGCCTCTCCTGTTAAAAGTTTTCGAATGGGAGAGGGAGTCGAATAAACCCAGGCACTCTTTTTCCCCCTCTCATTTAAAGGGTCTTTTTGAAGTAATTTTATATGTAAAACTTATGTCATGTGATACATTTCTTTTCTTTCATTTTTAGTATTACAAGATTTTAAAGATTAAAAAACTGGAACTTTTTTCATACTTGTTTTGTGCTTCAAATTGTTTGACTCTTTTGTTAAACGCAAGCCACAGAAAGGTAATTTGTACAACAGCTAAATAGACGTCTTTTTGCTGATGTGGATTTGCCACACCCAACAGTAATGATATGTTGCGTATTGAAATGAGGCCCTTAAATGTGGTTATGGCACAGGGGAGATATCCTGCTTCTACTGTTACACCTCTGGGCATCGACGGGGTCGGGAAAAGCCTTTGTGAAAAAAGGGTCATGCAAAACCGCCCCCACTCCTTTTCTCTCTCCCCTTTGCAATTCTCTCTCTTTTTTGAACTTAAACAAGAAAGAATTAAGCCTCCCTGTGTCCTTGGAGGCCAGAGAAGCTCTTGATGTTTGGATAATACCACTTTGATTGATTTTTCATTAGTTCTTTCTGCATGGCAACAAATAAACAAGTATAATTAGACTTGTGAAGGCCCATTCATGCCTTTGTAAGGATCTATGACATTTTGATAGAGGATTTGGTGTTGAGAAAAGCCCCAGCAGAGGCTGGGGTGACCTTTCCTAAATCGGATATATTTTGGAGGCGTTTTACCTATTTTTCCTGTTTTTTCTTTCACACTCGTATTGCAGTTCCACTTCAGTAAAGCGCGACACATCTGTGCACGCTAACGTTTAACGTTTGTCTATGTCTCTGAAAAAAAGGACAACCTGAAAAACTATTTAGGGAAGAAAGGGTGAGTGAAATCCAGGGGGGGAGGGGGAGTCTTAGCACTCGGGTAAACCTAGCATTCCTACTCCATTATTCCCGTCTCTTGATCAGATCACATTCTTTTTAATCACTTCACAGGCAGCGTCTCCATAGAGAACCGAGAGAGAAGCCGAGACAGTCTTAATTAAAAAACAGAGGTAGAAACACTGTTTGCCATCTTTTTCTTCTAATGGGAACGGGAGCCATTTCCATGCAATGAGATCTGTCCTCAATGTTTTGAGAGTGCGTTCTTTCAGTTTCAAGAAAAAGAGCTTAGTGTTAGTTTTTTTTCTTTTTCTTTTTGTAGCCTGTGCTTTTTAGACCGAATAGAAGCAGGGAAAGTAAGACAAGAGAGAAAAGCTGTTTCACAGTTAAGTTACAACACGTTGGAGGAATTGTAGAACGGTGTATAGAAAAAGGTGTTAACAGAGGAAAAATGCAGTCAAAAAGAACATAGAGCCCCTTTTAATAGCAAAGTACGTACTTAAGACTAGTTTCTGTCTTTTGGGTGGAAAAGAGAGTATGTTAACAATTGAGATTGAGCTGGTTTGAAGAAAGATGCCTGCATGTGATTCTTTTAAAGTTGTTCTTGTCAGGCATCTTGAGCGCTTGAGGATGTCTGGATAATATGCAGTTACTTGCTGTAGCAAACAGTGATTTATATATTTATTTTGTGAGAAGATATTGATGGACACACTTAAGTTACCGGGCTGATTGTCAATGAAACGTCTTCTGATGCGAAATATCAATATGAAAGCTAGAGGTGCTCTCAGCATCCCTGGATACTTGCCTCGTATCAAAACAAGTGTAGCTCTGAGCTGTTTAGCTCTTTTGTGCCTTGCTTTATAATTCATAGGCATGTAATGATTCACATGCATAGCCAAAAATGTAGAGACACAGGCAAATCCAGGGGAGGCATCTCTCTCAGCACTTCAAGTGTCAAGAAATGCATAATTAATCTCAAACTGCACGTTTTATGTCCGGACCCGCATTAACTGATGTTGTGTGTTAGGATCCAAAGGAAAGCAACAAACACGCACAGTTGCACACAAAATCTCTGCATAAATTCTTTTTTTCTGCTACCTGAAAGAAAGAAAAAAGAGAATGAGGAAGCCAGTTGTATAATTACAGCTTCCATTTGAATTGTATTTGATACCTTTTAAATGCTGAATTCAAACAGAAACAAATCACAGGCAACCGCTGACAAGGTAGACACATGAGGGAGAGTGTGTGTTTTGTGAAGGTTGCTTGTTTTATGATGTGCAGTGGGTTTTGTGTTAACGTCGTTGGAATGTTGTGTGCGGCTCACACACTCACCCAGCGCCCACAGGCCCTGGAGGCACAGCTGCTGGCTCTGTGATCTTACACCGGGAGATGCAGAAATTATCACAGGAGAACACTGTAATCTAGTCCTCCCTTCCCTGCCAAACTTGTGTTTTTGGAGACGTACATTCCTCTCGGCTTGCATAAATGACCCCCCGCCCCACTTCGCCACTGCACACACACACAGACACACCTTTTTCTTTTCTTGTGTGAAGCCAAATCTAATAGGTGCTAATTTTGCACTAATTGCTGCACAGTTTTGCTCTCAGGGTATTTGGGAGCAATCTCAGGTCTTTATTTTCACAGCAGTGCATTGTGCAGATCACCCCCACCATTTGTTTATTATACAATTTAATTTTCACTTCATTAATGTGATAGCTTATCTGCATTTTCTAGGAGAAGTATCCTAATTCTTTACTTCTGTGCGTTTCCTTGTATTGAGAATATACTTGATTTGAACAGTAAAATGTATCTTTTCTGTGCGTAATATTCATATGATATCCCAAACGTATTTATCCAAGGCTTCATTTAAATGAATCCCCGATTTGCTTTGTATCAAAATAGGTATCTGGAAAAAAAGTGATTTGCACATAGCTATGTGGAGAGGGCATGGCTGTAATTGTTGTTTAATTTTGCATCATCTTTTAACTTCGTTTGCATTTGGAAAAAAAAGTGCTTTTCTAAATTGCATTGTGTTCAATAAGCTATTATCAGGTTTCCTATATTCTTGAGAATAATTAGAAAATAAAGCCTGTCACAGCAGACAGGGCTGCCGTTTTAAAATTCTGGGTCTGTCTTGAGTGTATTTCATTTTAATTGAAAGCACAGCAGTTGCAAGCCCGTCATTGTTGGCCTTCACCACAAATCTCTACCTCTTCTGTACACACTGATATCACCCTGAAAATTTGGAGCAGTTGGTTTTCTCTTTGCTCTCTGGGCCTCAATCGCCGAGCCTGGGCATGGTAGGCACATACGCTTTGGATCCAACTCTATTTCAGCGTCCAAGCTTAGTCCCAGTCTTTGAATCTGCATTGCCAGCCTTGAGAATAAATTGTCTGTGGTCCAAGAAAAAAAAATATGATTGAAGGGCTTTCATCAGCAAGGTGCGCGTATGATTTGTGAAAGCCAGGAGAGAACCTGATTGAGGCAGTGACGGTTGGGAGATGGGCAGCCATCCAGGATAGATAACATCGCAATGGTATTTCAAATGGTGTGCTTTATGTGCTTGGGTTTTTGTGGGCTGCCAAGGATGAAAAATGAAAAACAAAAAAAAGTGAAAAGAACTTGCGAGATGGCCCTCCCGGGGTGACTGGACTGGGTGTGCTAAATATTAATTTGAGTTTGAGGTGATTGTCGGAGAGGCCAAAGCGTGGGTTAGAATTTGGATGGCTGCTTAATGAGGGCTTGTTAGATACCTGCTGGGGGATCTCTCAGAGGGAAGATTTGGTGTAAGCTGATTTACTGAGTAACATAGGAACCAAAGAGATACCGCCTCTCTCTGCCAAAGTGGTCATGATTTGAATGTGGTGGTCCACCCCCCTTTTCTTTGCTTATTGTAATTATGTTGCAATGATAAAGGGGCTCACAGAAACTTTTGTGTGGGAGTGGTCTCATTTTAAGGGGAGTGCTGCTCGTGTTATTGAAAAAGTCTCATACTTAAACCTCTTTTTTTTAACAATTGAAACCACTTGTTAACCTCTGCTAAAATCAATGGAGTGTCTGTCTGCATTTAAAAACCATACAGCTTTTTTTCTAGATAGGTCTCTGCTGCTCATTTTTGAGCTAATTCACGAGTAATTGCAGCGCAGCAATGCTCTCTATATAATCAAGGACAGCACATGCTGAAGATCAGGTGCGTTATCGTTATACACGTTCTAATATGTCTCTCTTTTTTTAATTTTTTGTTATTTATGCAGGTCCCTGACAGGCTGGATGAAATGAGATCCCCATGTAGTGATTACCATGGAAACTTGTGATTCCCCTTCTCTCTCAAGACAGGAAAATGGGCAGCAGATATCAAAGCTACATGAGACGACACATCTTGATAATGAGGTGCCAGAGAAAGTCCCTGGGATGGAGCCTGACAAGGAAAACAGCCTTGCGGATGACAACCTGAGGACGGAGGAGAGCCGTCAAGAGATCGCGTCGGGATTGAGCGTGGAAAATGCGATAGGTGCGGCCACTAAAGAGATCCCCTGCAACGAATGTGCCACTTCCTTCTCGAGTTTACAAAAATACATGGAGCACCACTGCCCGAACGCTCGCCTTCCTCTTCTGAAGGACGAGAATGAGAGTGAGGTCAGCGACCTTGAGGACAGCGATGTAGAGAACCTGACAGGAGAGATAGTTTACCAGCCAGATGGCTCAGCTTTTATTCTTGAGGACTCCAAAGAAGGTGGCCAGTCAGGGGTCAAAAGACTCTTCTCCCCAGCACTATTTTCAAACTCCCAAACTGCTGCCGGGGACAAGACTGAGCAGTCGGCCACAGCCCCCATGTCCTTTTATCCACAAGTGATCAATACCTTTCACATCGCTTCATCCCTCGGGAAACCATTTACGGCCGATCAGGCTTTCCCAAATACCTCAGTATTAGCAGGAGATGGTCCTGTGTTGCACAGTTTCCGTGTCTACGATCTCCGACACAAGAGTGATAAAGACTATCTTACCATTGATGGCGCAGCCAAAAACTCCTGTGTGTCCAAAGATGTTCCAAACAATGTGGACTTGTCTAAATTTGATGGTTTCATTAGTGATGGGAAAAGGAAACCTATTCTGATGTGTTTCTTGTGCAAGTTGTCTTTTGGTTATAGTAGGTCATTTGTAACCCATGCTGTGCATGATCATCGGATGACCCTCAGTGAGCAGGAGCAAAAGCTCCTTAGTAATAAATATGTCTCTGCCATCATACAGGGCATTGGTAAAGACAAAGAACCTCTTATAAGCTTTCTGGAACCAAAAAAAATAAATTCTGTTACACCACACTTTTCTACTGCAAACTTCATGGGCCCTGATCCAGGCATTCACAGCCTGTGGAACACCTTTCACATGGAAAACGGTGATTCCCTGCAGGCTGGTTTCGCCTTCCTGAAAGGAAGTGCCAGTTTGGCATCTTCTGCAGACCAGTCGCCCAGGAGTGCCCAGATGCCAAAGGCTGAACTGAACCTCGGGGTTGCGGCCACCTCGGCGCTCAAGTCCCCCGTCGGCTTCGTGTCTCTCCAGCGCTCATCGCCAGGGGCTGGGTGCAGGGATCAGGAGAGCAACTGTGAACGGCAGAAGGGCGTTAGCACTTTGCATGCCAATGGTGAGCTCCCCATCAAAAGCGAGCCCAGAGACACGGCTGACGCTGAGGAGGACGAAGACATGTATTTGAATGAGCTTGACGACGATGGCGTTTGTGAACTTGGGGATAGTACCAGTAGCAAAGATTTCCCTCTCTTAAACCAAAGCATTTCTCCTTTATCGTCCAGTGTGCTAAAATTTACTGAAAGGGGTACTACTTCCTCTGTGACTGTTGCCAATGACCTAGAGAAGACAAAGCAAGCTGCTGCCAGCTTGGACTACAGCAATGACTCCACGAGCGGAGGCAGCAAAGATGGCTGCGACTCCAACGGCGGCAGGGATAGCAGTCCACCATCTCTTCCTCTCGACATGATACGACGAGACGACGAAAGCCCTGGCCCACTGCACCAGTATGCTGCCACGCCCAGCACCCCTGGCACCCCCGGCCCAGGAGAGGGCTCTCCTGGAAGTGGAATCGAATGCCCCAAGTGTGACACTGTCTTAGGTTCCTCACGTTCACTTGGTGGTCACATGACCATGATGCACTCACGGAACTCCTGCAAGACGCTGAAATGCCCCAAATGCAATTGGCACTACAAGTACCAGCAGACCCTGGATGCTCACATGAAGGAGAAGCACCCAGAGTCTGAAGGCTCTTGTGTCTATTGCCACACGGGCCAGCCTCACCCTCGACTCGCCCGGGGTGAGAGCTACACGTGCGGCTACAAACCTTTCCGCTGCGAGGTGTGCAACTACTCCACAACCACCAAAGGCAACCTTAGCATACACATGCAGTCGGACAAGCACCTTAACAATGTGCAGACGCTGCAGAACGGGGGAACGGAAGCCATCTACAACCATGCTGCTCCTGTGTCTAACGCCAGCCTGAGCGGGTGCAGCACGCCCTCACCCTCCAAGCCCAAACAGAAACCCACGTGGCGATGCGAGGTCTGCGACTATGAGACCAATGTGGCTCGCAATTTGCGCATCCACATGACAAGTGAGAAACACATGCACAACATGATGCTTCTTCAGCAGAACATGAAGCAGATCCAGCACAACTTGCACCTGGGCTTGGCACCGGCCGAGGCGGAGCTCTACCAGTACTACCTGGCCCAGAATATCGGGCTCACTGGTATGAAACTGGAGAACCCTTCAGACCCACAGGTGATGATCAACCCCTTCCAGCTTGACCTTAGCACTGCCGCAGCCCTGGCTCCCGGTCACAGTGAGTAGTTTTCCCCCTTGGATATGCTTGTCACTCACTTTCTTTTGTTCTCTGTTTCCTTCACTGACTCTGGTCTTATTACTCCTGTCATTATTGTATCCTGCTCTCGACTTGTTCTGTGATTTGAGCTGCCATGTGAGAATCTGTTTCCTAATTTTCTTAAGTTTAGCCCTCGTCTTAACATGGACTGTAGTGAGCAGATTGCCTACACACAACATGCAGCAGCAATTTTATTCTTTCACTTTATCAGTCAAGACCAAACATAGCATCTGCATCTGTTTCTGAAAGCCGATACCCTTGTGCATTAAAGGGGTCCTATTATGCTTTTTCACTTTTTCAACTTTAGTAAGTCTGTAATGTTGCTGTTTGAGCATAAAAAAGATCTGCAAAGTTACAAAGCTCAAAGTCCACTTCAAAAGGAAATATTTTATTTAACAGAAATCACTTTTCAAAAACTACAACGAACGACTCGTTTGGACTACAACGCATCTTTTCCGGGATTTGTGATATCACAAATATCGACGAATGGGACGAGACCTGGTTGAGCTGCACTAGAGAAGGAGGTGTTGTAATAATGTAAAATATGTGAAAAATAATCTGCTTTTCGAACAACTTCGTATGAGAGCCTGTTCTAGTACACGCCCAAAACAAAATCAAGACTTTGTAAAAGAGCATAATAGGACCCCTTTAATCTCGTGGGTCTTTACCTCCATACGTAGTATAGACTGACACATATACATTAGCCTGTCAAGAAATATTGTTTCCACAAAAAACATTGTCTTTCATCTAGCAACTCAGAAACTCTAACAAAATGCTATATTTGTACCTTGTTTTGACCTTGTGTAATTATTAACCCAGGGGGTTGAGGGTATGAGAAATGATCTAGTTTGCTTCTAAAAGTGCAGAGATCAAAGAACTAAATGACAACTAGATGTAAGATGATCTGTTTTTTATCATTTTAATTTTTAGGACTACTGTTGAGGCAGGCTAATTTTATATTGATCAGTTTTGTGTCTTTAAAGAGAGAAGAAAAAAATAAAAAGGTGTCTGAGTACAAACTCAGGAATGCCTGGTAGGAGTAATTAAAGCTATCTGATGAGGGAGTTTAGAACTTGAAAGGGATGATTGTAATTGATCCTGATTCAATCCTATTATAGCTTTTTATAGTTAAGGCTTTATAAAAGCCATACTCCTTACTGAGACTTTATTTTATTAAATGGATATGGGTGCCCTACACCAGTCTCTCAGTTCTTTTTAAATTTCATTTAATAATAATAAAAAAAACTTTTCTCTTTTTCTCCTCCCTGTGACTGTGCCCCACCTCATCCCTTCTCCCCCCCTCTCTCTTTCCTTCTCTCTCTCTCTCTCTCTCTCTCTCTCTCTCTCCCTCTCTCCCTGCAGTAAATAATGAGCTGCCTGTGGAGCTGCGTCTTGCGAGTGGTCAGCTAATGGGTGATGACCTGTCCGTCCTCTCTGCTGGGGAGCTGTCACCTTGCATCAACGACCCGCTGCTGAAGCTCTTCCAGTGCGCGGTGTGCAACAAATTCAGCTCTGACAGCCTGGAGGTGCTCAGCGGGCACGTGGCGGCAGAGCGATCGCTTCCGGAAGAGGAGTGGAGGGCCGTGATGGGAGACGTCTACCAGTGCAAGCTGTGCAACTACAACACGCAGCTCAAGGCCAATTTCCAGCTCCACTGCAAGACCGACAAGCACATGCAGAAGTATCAGCTGGTGGCCCACATCAAGGAAGGTGGCAAAGCCAACCAGTGGCGTCTCAAGTGCATTGCCATCGGCAACCCCGTGCACCTGAAGTGTAATGCCTGCGACTACTACAGCAACAGTGTGGAGAAGCTGAGACTGCATGCGACCAACCAGAGGCACGAAGCTGCGCTGAAGGTCTACAAGGTCAGCTATGCTTTACTTTGTGTTGAACTGTGTCATGACCCACTGTCCTAGTTCTGTGTGTTCTCGGTGTCACATGGGTTAATATTTACTTTGTTTTGTTTAACTTTTCATTGCATTATATCTATTTTATCACTGTATTTGAAAGAGTCAGGCCATGGTCAGGAGAATACAAACACTGAACATTTGTTTTCTAGCACCTTGTTTTTTTTTTTTTTATGATGTCAGATGTCATTAGTCCAGCTTTAAATTTGTTTTGGCCTTCCATGCTCGCCCTTTTCCCAGTTTCCTCTGCTCTCTTTCCTGCAAAGACAGGAATATGCCAGTCAGCCTGTTTACATGATGCCTTTCAGAAATCAAACCTAATTGAATTTATGCTAGAAATATCAATATTTTTAACAGTTGGCCGCTGTTGTAGCGTTTCACTGAATTTTCACCTCTGAGGAAAGCTGCCCCATCAGCCAGTGTATAACAACAAACATCATGTGAACAGCTGACGAATTTTGAACATGTGACTGTGTATGCTTGTCAACATGCACGCATAAGAAAAGGAAAACATTAAGATTATTTTTTAGATCGCCCTGTGTTTTACTAGTTTTTTTAACATACAAATTACGTTTTGATGTTTCAGATTTCTGATTTGCGGGTTATATTTGACTGTTTTGCTCAAGGCCTAAGGCAGATAACTGATCCACATCGGTGGGGGTTGAACAGAGGCCACTGCAGCCTCATCCTGTTCTTAAGTGCATTTGGGTGTTGACTTACTGGACTTGTGTGATTGCCTGAAACAATGATACTAACATCCTGAAATCATAGACCAGCATCACATCCCAGACACATTAGTGGACTCCTCTGGATAAACTGTATTAACTTAATGAGGATCTATTGACCAGCATTAGTCACTTTTGACTTGTGTGTGCTCGTAAGCCGGACTCAGCTGTATATTTAGAAAAGTGAATTTAGCAGCTGACAATGGCTAGACTGCAAACAAAATTGGCAGTCTTGTAATGATAGCAATAATGCAAACAATTCATTACTCTGACCCAATTACACACATAGTCATTCAAAAAGGGTTTTTAAAAGGAAAATACAACTACTGTCACTTTCACACCGAGAACCTCCTGAAAAAGAGTTAAGTCAGAACCGAATGCTGAAAAAGGCCTTTTGAGAATAAGAAATGGTGAGTTTCTAGTACTTTTTTTTTGTTTGTTTAGGAAATGGGATTTTGAGCTGCTTCGTGTTATTAATGTATTCAGACGGTGTTAGAAATACAGAGCAAGTAACTAAACAACAAAGAGCAAATCCTCCAATGGGTGAAGTCAGCATGAGGCAAATAAAGGGCTGAAAGAATCGCATGTGGTATTTGGAGGCCTGGCATTAAAGATGCAGTCCATGGGAATGTTTTGAAATCCTTAGCAGTTTAGAAAGGGGTGGGGGGTCAGGGGGCTTGGCTAATTCTCTAAGCAAATAAAAAGGCTCCATGGCAACAGAGAGCATTTCGGATCACATCGAAAGACAAATAGATTGGAGATTAGAGGAAGAGAAAGGCCTAGCTTAGCTATGATCTTAGTAAGTCTAGGAGTAGATTTGTTTCTTCACATGCACGTGTGGTTGGATCACTGCCTGATTATTGACATGATTGTTTGTGTTTATCCTGAAATGTTTAGTTAGAGTTTACCTGAATTTTTAGCAGCCAAGGAGCATCTTTAGCAGCATCTTTAACATTTACACTTCCTTTTTTAGAACAGCAGGTGGCTATGTAGAACATACTCCCGATATGTCAATTTTAATGTTGAACCAGCATGACAATTGTGTTTTTCCTTTTGAAGCTTGGAAGTGAGTGATCTAGTCAAATGGAGAGACATGTAATCTAATGAAATCTGTAGTTTGTATGGTTTTAATTAGAAGTAATTGTTGAGGTAAAAAAAAAAAGCCATTAGCACTCAAATGTACGCCCACCCCTTTGAGTTTTATTGGCTCACACTTTAAGAAGTGTTAGAACAGGTGATGGGGCTGAATTTTGATGGCGAGAGAAGGGTGTCCATTTGACACACAGGGGGTGAGGGGGTTCGCTCTGGCTCTCTCATCTCCTTGTGCCCCCACCTTTATCCAGTGAGAGGGAAATCTGTTCTACAGATGCGGCTTCTAATGCTTTTGGCAGGAACTGGGCCGTTTTGCTCATGTATATTTGAGTTTATTGTGTATTCAAGTGTAATTGTGTATTCAGATTTTCCAGACATTAAAAAAGGCCTCAATTACATTAGCAGTGCAATGTTTCATTTTTTTTTTTTTTGTGAAAGGCTAGGTGGTTTTAAAACTCCCAAGCCCACACCTAAAACAGCCTTGGATTTTTTTTCACTGTTATGAAGTAATTCGGCTGTTAAAATAAATACAATGCACATTCTTGTCCTCTTAGTATTTGGCATTAGCTTACAGTAATGATATATTGTCGTTATACAATTATCGTTAATAACCACTCAAATAAACGCAGATGTAGTCGACTGTAAATCTGTCAAGGCCTTTCAAAGGCGGCGTAACGCTTGATTAAGAAACGGTGAGAAATGTGTGTTGCTCCAAAGAGCCGATTTGCGCTGGGCACTTGGGTCATTTGAAGCCAAGAATGTTCATGGTCAGTGGGGGGAAAGCCAGATACTGACCCACACCTGTTCACCAGGTGGTCCTCGCCATGCTCTTCTCTCTTGTATCTCCCACTCTTTTTCCCTCCCCCTCTGTTTGTCTATTTCCCTTCTCTTTCTACTTCCTCTCTCCGGAGGCTTGTGTGCAGCACATAAGGATGTCCAGTATGTATCCCCCAGTTGCGCGTCAGGAGCTATGAACTGCTTAATTACAGCAGCCACCCCCCTCCCCGAGCATCCGTCATCAGTCAAGCAGAATTTTCTGTCTGTCTGGAGTCCAAGGCTCCATTTCCATATTTGTATTTTCCTCCTCTCTTTTTTTTCCCCTCCTCGTCTCCTTTCTCCCCGTTTTGAGCCACAGGGGCCGTGGCACACATAATGCACCTCTCTCTGGCGGAGGCAGGCGGGGAGATGGAGCCGCAGCGACTGGCTTTCCGTGGCCTTGTCCCCAGGGAGAGGCAGATAGCCCATCTCATTATCCATGATACGGATGGCAACACCATTGGTCGGGGCAGGGAAATGAGAAGGGAAATTAAAAGGGGGCAGCAGAGAAAAGAGGGAGGAGGAGAGAATGCGGGAGTGAGGAGACTGGAATTTCAGATTTATCAAAGACTTTTCCCAACCCCTTTTTGACGTTTTTTTTTCTCTTTTATTATCATCCAGAAGGTCAGTATTTCCTCCTCATTTCCCCCCTTTTTTCTCTCTGCCTTTTGCTCTATCTTTCTAAACCAAGATGGCTGCCGGTTGATGGGCACATTATATTACAGCATATTCATTACTGAAGGTCAGCCTCACTCCTTCTCATTTGAAAATCAAATGCCCCATATATATGCAGCTCAAATTATTGTCTGTCATTTCCCCCGATCTGATGGTAAAATGGACAGGAGATTGAGTTGAGGGTATTTGCATAAAAAGCCATTGTGCTATAGAGGAACGAGGAGGATCTGTTTTGCATGCGCTTTCATATAACATCATCATCATCATTGTTGTTGTCCCTTAGCACACATTGTGTTTTATTTTGGGGCTTTTTTCCACATTTATTTTTAATAAATACAGACCAGTGAGCACCAAAAATTGAAATTCTGAGATTTACTCATTCTCATGTCATTTCAAACCTGTATGACTTACTTTCTTCTGCAGAACATTGAAACACACACACACACACACACACAAGCACACTCACAAAACAAGATATTTTCAAGAATGTATCAGCTGATTTTGTCAATATCAATATCAATTTGTCAATATAAAAGTCAGTGGGGTCCAAAACATTTTTTTGTGTTCCGTTAAAGGGGTCATATGATGCGATTTAAATTTTTCCTTTCTCTTTGGAGTGTTACAAGCTCTTGGTGCATAAAGAAGATCTGTAAAGTTGCAAAGACTAAAGTCTCAAATCCAAAGAGATATTCTTTATAAAAGTTAAGAGTCAACCACGCCTACCTAAAACGGCTCGTTCTAACATGCCCCCACATATCAACGTCACTATTTGGGCGGCGTTATGCAACTCTTCCCACATCTTCACGCAAAGAAAGAAGGCGTAACTTTTATTCTCGCTGTAGTATTGTTGCCGCCGCCGCCATGTCGTGAAGGCGCTGTGTGCTTCGTTGTGAAAGCGAAACTACTTTGTTTGGCCTTCCAAAAGAGGATGATATCGTCATGCCTGGAGCTGGTCCGTGCTGGTCGCTGAGGAAATACTTCAACTTTGTGCCATCGATCGCCGGATCGGCTTTCACCGTGGACAAAGCGGAGTCCAGCCCGGGGTCATCACATGTGGTTGCCGCAGGCATCACAATATGGTAAGGGACGTAACATTTCCGTCACACGCTTGAGGAATTCGGCCAATCACAACGCACTGGATAGCTGGCCAATCAGAGCACACCTCGCTTTTTCAGACCGATGAGCTTTGTAAAAATCGACGCGTTTCAGAAAGGCGGGGCAGAGGAGAAACAATAATGTACAGTATGTGGAAAATAATGTGTTTTTTGAACCTTAAACCACATAAACACATTTCATTACACCAAATACACAAAATAATGTTCTTTTTAGCAACATCATATGACCCCTTTAAAGAAAACTTTAAGTGCTTTAAAATACTACATTTTTATAGATTTGGTTTGTTTAACAGTATTTTTTGCATTTATTCTCATGCTGTCTTCATGATTAGACACGATGCCCCTAGAAAGCATCCAAACCTGGGAGGATATGAGAAAAAAAATCCCAGAAAAGCGGACGTTGCCCGGTCTCAGCTGTTTGTCAATAAGAGCCGGTGCGCCACAGTACCAGAGGACTTTGCGCAGGTCCAAAAGGCCTTACACGAGCCCTCGCTTTACTTTCCAAACGCAAACATAACCACAGGCTCACAAATGC